ATGGGGCATTTTTTGGAACGGAACTGGTACTATCGGTTTTTGGAAAACCGGTAACCGGAACTGAACTGAAACCAGTTGGTTAATCGGTTGATTGGTTCGGTTCGTTGGTTTTTCGGTTTTTTAATTTTTGTAATATATTATAAAAATATATAAATATATAATAAAAAATTATAAATATATATATAATGTTATATTTTAAATAATAAATAATATATAATATATTTATATATAATGCATATTTATTAATTTATAATATATATATATGATATAATATATATAAAAAATATAGAAATATGTGTATACCGATCGGTTCTATTAACTGCTAGTTTTCTATATTGGTTAACCAAAATCAAACCGATTTTAAAAACTCCGAGCTGACCAATTCAATTAATTAATTTTTCGATTTGGTTTCAGTTGATTTGATTTTCGAATTYTTTTTTACTCACCCCTAATGGTAGATAGTAGATTGACATGTTTTAAAAATTCCGGTATGAAATTATCGTGTTTTAAAATTGGGGGACCAAAGTGGCACTAGGCCCAAAATGGAATATTTTCTCATGTACGCTATAAGATAACCCAATATTCCAATCAAATGGCTTTTATGCATTGTGATGGATTGACTCATTCGACTTGAACCGTTGACCACCACTTATGAGTTTAAGTTGATATGACGTTTTGTACTAATTAATCTTTGTTCAGCCAATGTTATTAAAGCCATACAATACTTTTTGTTTTTATTTTTATTTTTTTTTGAATTATTACATTACACAAACACCAAAGTAATTTGGGTCAATATCATGAAGGCTAAGTACCTAAAAAATAAAGAAAAGACTTCTTAAACTCAAATCTCCCCCATAGTGGTTCTTGGGCTGGCAAAGCCTCTTGGCAACAAAAGATATTGTTAGAGTTAGGGCTTGTTGGGCTGTTAATATGGGTTTAGAAGTCAAAGTTTGAGTTGGCTTCCCAAGATTTCGGGTTTTTGAATATTTAGACATCATCCAGAAAATCCAAATTTGTCTTGGACCTAATGATAAATGGAAGAGAGAGTGGAATGAGGAACAAATTAGAAGATCTTGATTACCAAATAAAATTAGAAGATCCTTTAGTAAGGATGTTGCAGAAAACATTTTGAGAATACCACTGGCTAAAGGTTAATGGAGGGACAAAATTTACTCGACACTCACTGAAAATAGAAAGTATAGTGTCAAGTCTTCTTATTGGGTGGCAAAGAGCCTTCTGAATTCTTTGGAGCTAAGGGAGGCTGAACCTCATACTGTGATAGACCAGGAAAGGCAAAAACTTTGGAAAGAAAATTGGAAATTAAATGTGACTCCAAAATTAAAAAAAAAAAAAAATCTGGAGATGTAATTAGAATGCTATTGCAGTCAATTCAAACCTGGTTAAAAAATGAATTGCAACTTTTGATCTCTATCCTATTTGTAAAAAAGAGGAGGAAACAGTGATATGTTATCCTTTTACTGCGACCATGCCAAGGCTGCCTGGTTTGGTTCAGCCGGTGGGTTGAAATGTGTCAAAACCAGTTGTCTCATAACCCAAATCGCCTCACTGTATCTATCTTCATTTTTTGGGCTATTTGGATTACTATAAATAAATTTGCTCTTGATAATATTGACCCAAATCTTAATTTGGAAATTGCCTTTTGTTTTTAGAATGACGAAGGAGAAGAGGTTGACTTCCCCTCAAGGATTGCAATTTTCTTTGCCAGCCCTTGAAATTAAAGCTCAGGCTGTTTTTTAGACCCCTTCCTCCCTAGATTGGATTAAGTTGAATGTGGACGGGAKTTTTTTGGCTTCTGGAGCTGCTGGTTTTGGAATGGTGGATCGAGACTTCACCGGAAAGGTTGTAACAACTGCTTTTGCTAACCTTAAATCCCTCTCGCCTATCCAAGCTAAAGCTAAGCTATGGTGGTGCTGAAATTTTTGGACTTAGTTCGGTCTCTCCAAACCAATGTTTTCGAACCGCTGTTGATTCGGATGGTTGGACCGTTTGGCCCGGAACYGTCCAGACAATCGGTTCTATTTTACCCTAAACCTAGAATCTTGTAAAAAACTGTTGAAAAAGTCAACAAACTGTTGACCTGGGCGGTCGAACCATCGACCCATTGACCCATTCAGCGGTTTTTGACTTTTTTTTTTATTTTTTAATTTTGCTGTTAGAATGAACTGTCTGTTCGAATCAGACGGTCGAACCATCGACCTGAAAACCGGTGGCCAAAACGGTTCTATTTCCGAAACATTTTTTTAAAACGTTGCTCAAAACCTCTCATATGTCTAATTATGGAAAGTGACTACCTCAATCTAGTTACTACTTTGGAGTCTAGTTAATGCTGAAGGGGCTAGAGATGCTGTCTTTTGTGCTAGGACATCTTGCAGATAATTCAAGCTCAGTTTGTGCTGTTCAATTTTGTAAATAGAAAGGCAAACAGAGGTGCCCATGAGATGGCAAAAAAAAAGGGCTTACATGATCTAGAACTTTTATTATGAACTGTCCTATATGGATTCAGGATTGTGCGACCAAGGATCTAGTGGATCATATCCTTAATACTATCTTTGTTTGGTTTGATCTCATCACATTATAATTAATACCTTTTTACGAGAAAAAAAAGGTAATTTGGAGGTGGGCACACAGTGAAAGAACCATCCACTTAGGATTTGTTRCTCGTCATCACAGTATGCATAACTAGTTATTTACTTAGGTGTGCAAGTGAGTGAGCCTATTTGAGTTAACTTTTGCTACCACAGTTCGCATTGGCACCCCCATAGAGTGCGCTCCACATGCAGATCTCAATGTGCACTAGGAACATCTCCCATAGTTGTCAATGGGAGATTTTCGTAATATATGTTTGGAATGTATTGTGGGACACAGATGTGAATTTTAATATAATATTATCATAGCCAAGGTCTAAAATAGAAAATCATGGCCTTAGATGTACTATAATGGCCCCACCAAGAAATCACTTCATCTAATTCAAGGTGGATCATGACAATAAATCAAAGGCTTTGATTTGGTTGTTCCAAGGCAGGGCTACGATACTATTGTACCAAATGTGGGTTGATTGATTAATCCTATTCCTATTCACGAGCTATTCAAATTCACTAAATACTCAAATTCTAAATAATTAAGTTCAAAATTCATAATACTTGAGCCAAGTAGCTTACATTCCTCATTAAGTATATAATAAAATCTTAATTTTAATATATTTTTATTTACAATATAAGAAAATATTATTTTTTTATATTTATTTTCCATGACAAAAAGATCATTTTATAATGAAAATTTCAATATATTTTTATTTACAATGTTTATAATATTAATTTATTTATAATTTAGTAGATACTCAAATATGTCATCGAACATCCACTTGAGTAAAGTTTGAGTAGGAAAGCTTGAAACTCAATTGAGTTAAAATTGAATTTTAGGCTATGTTTGGTTGAAATGCAAATTTATTTACACTAGTACAAATACATAGAAGTGCAAATGTAAAAAATGTAAATTTTTGTTCAATTTTGTTTTGGATTTTACTCAAGTCTGCTCCGTGTCTTAATTTACTTCATTTGCACAACAATCAAACAAAAGAAGCTAAAATTTGAAACAAAAATAGGTCAGAATTTACACTCAAATTTCATAGGCTCATGAAGAATTTGTAGTTCAATGGATTTGATCGTGCCTCAACTTGGCAGCAATACCACAAGTAGGGGTGCCCACGAGCCGAGCTCGAGCCCAATTTAGAGAATCGTGACAATATCTCCAAGACAAAACTATTTACAATTCATGGGTAGTTTCCTAATTGTTATAAGTGGGCAATTTTTTGAGTGAGAGTAAAGGACATATATGCCCTTTTTTATGCCCGGTGTATGTTGTTTAGATAAGGGGTAAAAATATCCAATAAAAAGTCTAGAAAATGGGGTTATTCGCTCTTTTATGAGTTTTTAAATTGAGTTGAGCTCGAGCTCAAGGTTCTAGCTTGTAATACATTAGTGAACCGAGCTCAAGGCTCATACTATTCGGCTCGACTCGGCTGGGGTGGGGGATGGGCTACCCCCATTGTGTAGGCCCTTGATTATTGTGGAACCCAATTCAACCCACCGATTTGGATGGGTCAATTTAGCTATCTCGAACCAATCAACGACTTCATTGTCAAAGATCTTTTGAATAAAAAAGGGGTAATAGCATATAAGGGCAACTTTTGGGGTTTAATATCAATAAAAGCAATATATTTAAAAAAATTCAAAAATAGGTTAACTTTTTAAAAATAATATCAATAAAGGGCAAAACACTGTTCATCATATTCTTCTTGCCATTTGTTCACTAGAGCCGCCGTCCACCACCGCCTCCGCCCACCTCCACCTTCGCCTCCGACAGTGTTGCCAAAGATGGGTGGAGACAGAGGTGGCAGGCAGAGGAATAACCACTAGCACCGCCGCCGCCACCTCTGTCTCCAGCCACCTCTGGTAATGTTGCCGAAGGCGAGCAGTAGCAAACGGCGGTGGCGGATGGCGGTTCTGGTGAACAAATGGCAAGGAGATGAAGATGAAGTGTTTTTGCCCTTTATTAATATTATTTTTAAAAAGTTAACATATTTTTGAAAATCTTTTAAACATATTACTTTTATTGATATTAAACCCCAAAAGTTGCTCTGCTATGCTAAAAACCCAATAAAAAACCCTATTGGGTCATTTGCTGAACTATGAGAATCATAAATAATCCTATCTCCTTCCTTCTTGTGGAACCCAGTTCAGCCCACCGGTTTGGATGGGTCAACCTAGCTATCTCGAACCGGTCAACGACTTCATTGTCAAAGATCTCTTCAGGAGATGATCAACAAAATCAGCGGATGAGATTGTGAAATAGAGGATTATCATACTACCGGTAACATGACATCGCTATCTGTCAGTGTTGCTAGTGTAAAAGCGTGTGTGAAACTTGGTGGGTTTCCTCGTGTTTGAGACTCAAGCAAGACTTATATATAGTCCAACATCTCGGATGCGTTTATGAGGTGCTCCGGTGAAAGAAAGAAGAAGACTCTGAAACGCGTTAGGGTTTCTTTCGTCCATCATCCCAAACACTTTGAATCTCGCTCACCTCGTCGGACCAAGATCAAAGTCGAGGTACATATCTTAATGAACAGGGCTCGCCGTCAAGAAACGAGGATTTTTTATCCAGGTTTGCTACTCCTCATCTCTCGGTCTGTGCAATTTCGAGTTTCTAGGGCATCTTCCGCCATTAAATAAAAGGACTTGGAGAAGCTCTCATTACTTCGCGTGATGATCGGATCTATATATTCTGCTGCCTTGCTTTATTATCCACGGGAGATGTTTGTTTTCCCCTCCTTAGAGTCCCGGAACGGCTTATCGGTCTGTGTTCCGCGAGTTTGTAGGGATTGTTCTTCGTCAACCTGTTTTTGGAGTGTAGGCGGAGAAAATATTAAGTTTTCTTTTGGATGGAAGGGGTGGAGGTTTCTGAGTTTTGATTGAAGGTCATTATCCGGAGCAATATCTAGCCGGAGTGGAGTATTTAAACTAGGTTGTTGCCTTTTATCCTGAACTAGGTTTTCTTTTTTCTTTATCTCTTTTTGCATTTGGTAGTTATGGATGTCGACTCAGCGGGAAGAGATGGAAATAAGCGAGTGTTTAATCGACTGGGAGCTGCTGCAACTGATAAATCGCAGAAAGTCTGTTACCACTGGAGGGCGGGGAGGTGTAATAGATATCCTTGCCCGTTCCTGCACAGAGAGTTGCCACCACCGAACGGTGATGGAACGCCAGCAAAGCGTTCTCAGGGTTTCGTCGATGATAGGAGTTTTTCTGGTCCTCCTTCCATTCGTAGAGCTCCTAACCATACTCAGATGTCGTCAACGTGGGGCCGGTCTCAAGGGGGAGCTGGGGGAGTTAGGGTTCCTCACAAAACACAAGACAAGGTCTGTCACTATTGGATGACAGGGAAGTGCAGCTACGGTGATAAGTGCAGGTATCTGCATTCTTGGTCTTTCGGCGACTGCTTCTCGTTGTTGACGCAGCTGGAAGGACACCAGAAGGTGATTTTATTCACGATTGCTGCTTCTCATCCAGACAGTTGCATATGGGCAATTCTCTTGTGTGTTTCTCTCAGTTTGTTGGTTGATGGAACTCATGGAACAGGTTGTTACGGGGATAGCGCTTCCTTCAGGGTCTGACAAGCTATATTCAGGGAGCAAAGACGAATCTGTAYGCGTTTGGGACTGTCAGACGGGGCAGGTTGTGATCTTGTAACTTTCTGGTTTTTTATTGCTCTTTTATGGATCCATTCTTGCTTTTGTGTTTCGATACAATGTAGTATAACCCGTTTAGATCCCATGGTTTATCCTTGTTTTGTTACAGTGTGCTGGAGTTGTAAACTTAGGAGGTGAAATTGGATGCATGATTAGTGAAGGGCCATGGGTTTTTGTTGGAATTCCAAATGGTGTCAAGGTTAACTTGATTGGCTGGAGCTAACTTTCTTGTTATGTTTTATCTTTTATATTTTTGTCTATATGCATTTAGCTTGTATATATTACTAATATATTTTTTTGTTGTTGGCCTAGAGTAGTTTGTGAAGGATGCTTTACTTAATTGAGTCTAAAATGGTGATATTGTAGGCATGGAACACCCAAACTGCAACTGATTTGAGTCTCGATGGCCCTGTTGGACAAGTTTATTCTCTGGCTGTGGGTAATGAGATGCTTTTTGCTGGGATACAGGTAATTCTTTGGAATACAACTGGAATTTCATTTCCTAAATTTCAAATTAACATGCATATTCTATTCTTCAGTTCCATTCCCTAATTTTCGTATGGTGTACATGGTTGAAGATGTACATTTATCATTATCGTAATTCTGTACATTTACCATTGAAAAAGAAAGGGGAACCTGGGTTTTTCTGCAAGATTCCAGGACACAGAGACACGTAATCATGTTTTAAAATGCACTCCTAAATTAACCTGTAGATTCCAATGTTCAAATTAATACATACCATTGTACCTAAGTTTCAAACTGGCGTGTGCCTTCTATTCACCACTTTCATTTCCTAATTTCCAAATWAACTTGTACCCTCCATTGTCAAATGGAAACCTTATATTTCATATATGATATTAGGATTTGGAAACATACATACTTGACTACACACCTGAATTAGTATACCAGGAGGTGGTTCTTTGTCCCCATATGGATCTGAATAAGTTCCTTTTGTTTGATGATGCAGGATAGCAATATACTGGCATGGAAATTTAGTGCTGCAACCAACTCCTTCCAACCAGCTGCATCCCTTCAGGGTCACACTCTTGCTGTTGTTTCATTGGTTGTTGGAGCTAATAGGCTCTACTCTGGATCTATGGACCATACAATAAGGGTAAGTTGGTTTCATTCATTGCAACTTCCATCTATATGTGGTTATTAAGAGATTTTTTTTTTTGTTTGGACATTCAACTTGATGATTTTAAGTGAGCATTTTTTCCTCTTATGTAATATGATGGGAAGGAAGCATCTCTTAATTTGTACCTGTTTTGTTTATTTCAAGAAAGATATCTATCAATTCAACTTCTTCCTTATTCTACTGATGCTTTTTTTTTCTGATCAGGATGTATGGATCCATGGATCTGTGTGTGCCCATGTAGATCCTATTCATGAATTAACAAAAACGTTCTCAAACTCTATTTTCCTCAGTTATCTTTTCATTTGGAACTTAATTTGATATAGGGGCATTCTGTTAAGTTTACCTCACCTCTTATTATCTCTAGCAAATATCAAGGGTGTTCTCAAAACTTATGGGGGAACCGTAGCCCCCATTGCTTGTTTTCAAGGATATGTGATGATGATCCAGATGGTAGTAATGAAGAATATGTCAAGTTTGAGTGCGCACTTTATGTGCTAATTGTGGATGCGGTCTTCATTTTCTTGTTTTTTGTTCCTATGCCTCTATACTATTATGCTTATATATTTTGTGGCAACTCTTCTTCACCAGCCTTGCACTCTTTGTATTTTAGTAAAGATTTTTTTTTTTTTTTTTACATTACCAATGGTTTTAAGCATAGCTGTAAGTTGGGCTGATAAAATAAGCCTAGCTGAAGTTGGAGAAAACCCAGCCTGTCATCAAGCATCCTAGATTTGAGAGATTTTGTCCAAGTTATATTTGATTATTTGGCAAGGTTCAAAGTATTGATAGTATCTTGGGGTCACCTTCCCTTTTTAAGAGGAGTTGTTAGATTTAGTGTTTTTTATATGATAAAAAGTCATTTAATAAGATGGTAAGATGGCTGCCAAAAGATAAGGCAGAAATAAACAGTTATGGTCAAATACAAACTCTTGATTATTTTGTGTATCAAGAGAATCAATACTCTGAGAAATGTGGTTGAGTGATGCACTATTTGTCGTTTGCTTATAATATCATGCACATGTTGTTGCCTTCATCATATTAGTTGAGATATTTATCAATATTTCTATTTGGGAAGTTAGGAGTTTGTTCTTAGTTGATTCTGATTATCTTTATCTCATTATTTGTGTTTACTTTTTGTAAACATGCTTCATATTTCTTTATCTTTTCTTTAAACTGTTTTATTTTCTTTCAGGTGTGGGACCTTGATACTTTACAGTGTCTTCAGACACTGACAGATCACACTTCAGTTGTAATGTCTGTTCTTTGCTGGGATCGTTTTTTATTGTCATGTTCTTTGGATAAGACAATAAAGGTTTGCTTATTTTCTTGTTTTCCATGATTGTGCAGATTTCTCTATGTTATACTTCACATTTTTTATTCCTATTATCAAGTTCACTTTTAATTTTAATTCTTTGTTGTGCAGGTGTGGGTGGCTACTGAAAGTGGTGGCTTGGAGGTGACATACACACATAATGAAGAACATGTAAGATATTTTATGAGATTTTCTTTTATCTTGCATCTATGTCATATTTCATGGTAATAAGAAATCTTCCATTAAATAGGAAAAAGGTCACAATCTGAGCTGTGCATCTTTGTCATTGCATTCCTATCATGTTAATAAGTAGGTTTTATCAGGAAAAGATGAATTGATAAAAGTTTCCTGTAGATCTTAGTACACTGGATCTCACATTATAATCTTGTCGTAATTTCATAACTTGGGATTGTTAGTACAACATACAGTCTCTGATTTGTCTTTTTAATGGTTATGGTAAGATAATTATGAGAATTTCTTTTGTGATTTGAAGCATTGCTATTTCATTGGACTTCAATTGCTTGATTAATTACACGCTCTATTAATGTTTTTTTTTTTTGGAATTTAAGATGTAAGGATCTGGTTTCTCGTTCTATTACTACCTTCCTTTATAGAGTTGGTTTCCCATATGGTTGCTAATGTAAAGCATGTGGGATAATCTAATGAGTATTTCTGTATTATGTAATGTGACATAATATCCTGATCTCTTTTATTGAGCCATTTGCCTATTACTTTTGGTGGTTATTTTTGGTCTTTCTACACGTGATGACCACTACTTCTGGATCCAGTAATGGTGCTTGCATTTGTTTTTCATTTTTTTACTGCTTGAAGGTTTATATGTTTATAAAAATATGATTATTGATTTGGATAAAAAAATGATATGATTATTGATTATGTGTTTCGTTCCTCATAGGGCGTACTTGCTCTCTGTGGTATTCATGATGCACAAGCCAAACCTGTGTTGTTGTGTTCATGCAACGACAACACTGTCCACCTCTATGACCTGCCATCGTAAGTTTTTACTCGTCTCTTTTATTTTATTTTCTTTCTTGTGTTTGAATGCACTTAGGCAGGAGAGAAGGGGATACGGGTATCTACATCTCATTTAATCAAGGGACTGTTTATTATATGGTATAGGTTCAGTGAGAGGGGGAAGATATTTTCCAAGGAGGAGGTACGTGCAATTCAAATAGGTCCTGGCGGGTTATTTTTCACTGGTGACGGAACTGGTGAACTCAGAGTGTGGAAATGGTCGACAGAAGCTGCATCAACAGCCCCTTGATTTCAATGGATAACAACATTTTTTTTTGGTTTTTTGTACAACAATCCTCCGTAGGGCGTAATGTTTGCCAAAAGTTTTTTTCGTTGGCCCTTTTGCCTTATTATTGTTCCATCTCAATGTATAAGTTAAACAACAATTTGAGGAGAGCGTTAAATTTTTGGGTAATATCAAGTACCCTTGGCCTTGGAATTTTATTGTATGAATACGAAAACTTGAACTAGAAGTCGACAATCTCAATCCCATAGCGTTAAAATTTTGCTAATATAGTTATTCTATTGGAAAATCTATGATGCGGAAAAGATTGGCTACCATTTATTCCTATGAATTAATGTAATTTTTAAAAAGCAACTTGATATTAAATTCATGGGGAGATCTGAGTGTTTGCATATAGGGGTTGCAACGAGCTGAGCTTTTCATGAGCTGTTTGAGTTCAGCTTGGCTTGGCTTCAGTTGAGCTCAAGCCCAATTCAATGACTCAATTATTGAATGAGCCGAGTTTGAGCCTACTAGARCTTGGCTTGTGAGGCTTATATAGAGAGAGAGAGAGAGAGAATAATATATAATAAAAATATTATAATTATTAACTTTTTAAATATAAAATATTTTTTTTATATATAATTTTTATTTTTATAAAATATTTTTTTTCTAAAATATATAGTAAAATATTTTTATAAAATATAAAACGAGCTAAGCCGAGCCGAGCTCGAGCTTATGAACTTTTGACTCGAGCCGAGTTTGAGCTTGGTACTATTCGGCTTGGCTCGAATCCACCCCTATTTGCATTTAGTAAATCTATACTCAAAACTGATGATTGATTTTTGTTTCCTTTTACGGTCTCACGAGTGACTTATGGCCAAACAAAGTTTATTGGTATGTTTATAAATGGATAAATATGATCTATGATGCACTTTTAGTATATATGAATATACTAGAAAGATATACATACTTTCTAGATGTACTATGGAAATTCAGAAGAAATCTAACAAATGTTGTAATATCCTAGAGATTTTACAAATTACTACATGCATAACACCAACAATATGTTTGTGATGCATGAGATTTGTTAAATGGTAAACAATAGAAACATGAAATAGTATATAATTATCTTATATAATAATTAATAATCATTTATATTTTATATACTATTTTTAATATTTTTTTACATTACAAAAATAACAATAATTAATTTTTGATAGGGTTGTTTATCAAACTTAGGATGACAAATTTTCTGGGGATTTACCTTGAATGGGGCAGGATGGGGATGATTCCCCCACCCCACGGGGACAGATATGGGGAAATTTTCATCCCGTTGGCAAGGATGGGGAGAGCACTCCTTGCCCTATGGGAACCCTGATCCCTGCCCCATGGGATCCTCATTGATATATATGCATATATACGCATATGCTTATGTATATATGTACACATACRTCTATATATTAATATTTTTAAAAATATGATTGAATATGTTTGAAACTTTTCTAATAGGATTGTAAATTTTAATTGTTAATTTTTTAAATAAAATAAAAAATAAAAACACAATGGTTGACATTATAAAGAATCACAAAGAGTGGGGATCCTTGTGGAGACACGGATGGGAATAATTTTGTCCCTGTTAGSGGGGATGTGGATAGGAATTTTCGCGGGGATGGGGATGGGGAGAGACTCCTTGTCCTTGCCCCACCCCGTTGCCATTCCTAGTCAAACTAATGAAACTGACCAACTCAATTTCTAGTATTTCCACTTGACTTTGGTTCAACAATTTCTCAACCCGACTAGGTTGGATCAGTTTCGCTTTGGCCATTTGCAAACTGACTAAAATCGAACGACCTGGTCATAAATATATATTAATATTTTATATTTTAAATATATTTTTTAATATGAGAAAATAAAAAATTCCAATATTTTGTAGGCTAAAATATTTTATATCATAAGTTTAATTTTTAAATTTATTTTTTTATTAACTCCATTGTATTTTTTTTAAATTTAAACTTAATTTTTTAAGTTTAAATCTTTTGGACCGACCAACCAAATCGAAAATTAACCCAAACCGATATAACATGAGTGACTGACTCCCTAACCTGACCAGGCTGATTTGGTTGGCCAAACAACCTACAACTAAACTGAACTAACATGTGAATAATAGTTTAATCTCCAATAATTATTAAAAATTTATAAAAAAAAACTACATAATAAATTAAAATAAAAAATCTAAATGATAGTAGTTTAAACTCCAATAATTATTGAAAATTTTCTATTAAATAACAAAACAAAAATACATCTATACATAATTATTGAAAATAAATTTAGCATAAAAAACAATAAATAATTACTGAAATACATCAAATATTAATTTTAGTATATATAGATTAAGTTTTTAAAGTTACTATTCGTAAACAATAATTTTTTTGAAAGTTATTTTCTAGAACTATTAATTGGTATAAATGAAATTACTTGTTGAATTTAATTATCATTGTTTAAATTTTAAATTTTAATTACTTGTTGAATTTAATAATCCATTAAATTATAGTACTATTAATGCATAATTTTTTTATTTTAACTATTTAAAATCTAGTTATGTTAAATATTTCATTATTTAAAATATTTAGTGATTTAACTAAATATTTAAAATCTTAATCTATTTATCATAATTGAAGGTTATTCAATAACTATTTAAAATATATTATTAATTGACTTAAAATATTAATTTTAATATTTTGTTATTTAAGAAATTTAGTTATTGAAATATTTAAATAATATTTCATTTTTAATGTTAGATTTTTATTATTTGAATAACATTTAGATTGAATAATCAAGAAAATCATAATTTATATTTTTTGTAAATAATTTCGTGATGAATTTTGTAAAAAATATATAATTATTAATAATATGAATATTATTAAATAGATTATAATTATTTTTGTCTTTTTAATAAATATTTTAAAGTTATTATATATATTTTTAGAATATTTGAATAATTCTTACATTTTTTAATTCAACTTTAGATAAATGTAGATAAAAGTGGGGGAAAAAATAAATAAGAATTATAAATAATTTGAATAATTCTTACATTGAAGGATGGTGGCTCATTTCAAAACACGCTACACTCAAACTTGCATTCATTTGAGGTGTAGCGAGTTTTCAAACACAATATACTCTGGACTGAAATGGTCTATCTTTCAAAATATCATCAACAGATTTATCTCGTGATTCCATCCACAGCATGGTGTGGAATGGTGTGAAGTTAACTTTTATAATAAAAGAATGATTATGTGTTTCATCATAATCATAACCTATGTAACTTCTATTTGACTTTTCTCTCTCATTTCCTTCTTTGCATCGAATGCTATTTATATTTTACTAATTTTCATTATTTTAAAAATATTTTAAAACTAAAATTTAATTTCAAAAGTACTATTTTTATTAATCTTTAATATCATTAAAAGTTATATTACTTTCTTATTGATATTGTGACAACAGTACCCATTTGTGCTCTGCATTTTTTGTTGCTTGTTTATTAAGCAAGGGAAAGGAGTTAAGTGATGAGTTGCTACAAGATTTATTGAGAACAGTTTGAAGGGTCTTGATTGAATTTGAATGTATTAGTGTCATGGCATTACATGATTACATGATGATCTATACTCCCAACCATCTGAAGATATCTTTCTAAAGAAACATAAGAGCCCAAAGCTAAAGAAGAGAATATAAATAAAAGGTTGAGCTGTGTTTATCTGTTGATGTTACTAGAAGGATGTAACATGTTGAATAAGAAATGAAAGAAGAAAGAGAAAACAAAAAACAATAGGGTGTCAACTTCACTGCTATTGCTAGTCCAAACCTTAACTGAAGAGAAACAATTTGCATTCTGAAGTTTGAACTTAATTTGAAGCACTAGAGCCCATTTCAACATGTAAAGAGATAGCCTGGTTTTTCCATATATGATTGAAGATATTAATTTAAATAATATAATTATTTATTATTTTTATTATGAAACAAATTCAAAATATTCAAGAAATCACAATGGTAAATGCAAATTAATACAGAGATGTAATTGAGCAAGAATGAGGCGAAATAAGTGACTACAGCAATTGTGTAAATTTATAGTCAAGATGGAAAAAAAATACCCTTATTGGTTTGTAGATTAAGGCAATATAATCTCTTACCGCTAGTCCAAGAAAAATACCATCCCTCATATAAGCTTTAGGAAAATGAATTTCCTAAACAATGTCGGGTCCATTAATTGATCGGTGGCTCAATCGATAAATTCTCAGTTTGCAAGAAATACAAATACAAATATATACAATACAAATACATACGAAATACAAGCTTTTGCGCTTTATATATTTGTATTTGTACTCCTTTTAGGAATCTAAGGCCGCAGGGCATACATTCGTGGGACCAACGCTGGAAACCGTTTCGAATTGTCAAATGCATTAAATTTTGAGGAAACACTTGGATTGGTTACAACGTAGAAGCAGTTTGCACCATCGTCATTCATTCATTCTTTCTTTCTTTCCGTCTACCATTTCGAGGCTTCACAGTCGTGCATCATGTCGAGGCTTTGAAGCTTCCTATATAACTACTATATAACTACGTAGTTTCCACGCTCCACTCTGCATTCTTCAAAGAGTGAAGGGAGAGAAATGGGTGAAGGGGGGATGTCTGATCATGGTGGTCGAGAGGGAGAGGGAGAAGAGAACATGGCCGCTTGGCTTATTGGTGTCAACAACCTCAAGATTCAACCTTTCATACATCCTCCTCTTGGTAGGTTCTGTTTTCTACATTATATATATATATATATATACACACCAAACTTTCTGGATAAAGATCATTGAGACTCAGATTATGCTTCTGCTCACTAGTGATTCGTGGGGTTGGTGATTTTTAGCTTGGAAAAATCTCTGTTCTTAATTTCTTATGTTCATTGAGACTCAGATTATGCTTCTGCTCACCAGTGATTCGTGGGTTTGGTTTATTTGATAATTTTGTTGCTTGATTAATGTTTCCTGAAAAAAATCTCAGGTCCCCATGATGCTAGGGTTCGCATGAAAGCTGTCGGTATCTGTGGAAGTGATGTTCACTACCTCAAGGTCAAATTCTGATCACTTTTCATCTCTCTCTTAATTCTTTGAATTACTTTACTGAGTAACTTCGAGCTCTGTATATGTTTTGTTCTACTACAATTTTCTTCTTTCAATAAATACTGTTAGATGCCCTGCTGTTTCTGTTGCTGAGTAATTGCTCTGTTCTTTTTTTCAGACCATGAGCTGTGTTCATTTTGTTGTTAAAGAGCCTATGGTGATTGGGCACGAGTGTGCTGGGGTCATAGAAGAAGTTGGGAGTGAAGTTAAATCTTTGGTTGTGGGTGACCGTGTAGCTCTAGAGCCAGGGATCAACTGTTGGCGTTGTGATTTCTGCAAAAGTGGCCGCTACAATTTGTGTCCTGATATGAAGTTCTTTGCAACACCTCCAGTCCATGGATCTCTTGCCAACCAGGTTCTTGAATCTCAAACCAATTCCCATATTAGTATTAAGTCAAATCCTTTTATACCCATACATATTATTTGAAGCAATTTATTGCTTTCAACCAAAACGTCATAGTAAGTTGTATGATTCATACTGTCAATATTCTACCAATATTAGAAATGTTACTTTGCTTAGTATAGTTTTAGGGGCTGAGAAAATTTACTTTAAATAACTAATTTAGTACTAAAAAAGCCATTATCCAATGTTGGTCCCAGCTATCTGTGGTCTTGAGAGAGGTGGACTGGATAGAGACTTAACCTTTGGCATTTTTTTTTCACAAAGTATCTGCTCTCAGACTTGAATCTGCATTCTCATGTTTATCAGCCTATGACTTGAAAATCAGGGTGGGATGCTCCCATTTCGACCAAATCTTTGACCTTTCGAAATCTTGAATTGTGTCCTATCTGTTCATATTGACATCTTAGGCATGCAGAATGAAGCCTTAGTTACCTTAATTGAAATAGATCATAGTATCAGTTTCCTTGTAGTTAGCTATAACATTGGCAATGATATAATTTATAAAGGCGTTCCTTTGTAACTGAACCCATATAGTTGGGACAAGGCTTAGATGATGATGATGACAATGATGATGTTTCCTTTGTTGTAACAGGTGRTCCATCCTGCAGATCTATGTTTCAAGCTCCCTGACAATGTGAGCTTGGAGGAGGGGGCCATGTGTGAGCCCCTTAGTGTCGGTGTTCATGCTTGCCGTCGTGCTGAAGTTGGCCCTGAGACAAAGGTATTGATCATGGGAGCAGGTCCCATAGGCCTGGTTACAATGTTAGCAGCTCGAGCTTTTGGAGCCCCCAAAATTGTTATTGTGGATGTGGACGATCATCGCTTATCTGTTGCAAAGAATCTTGGTGCTGATGACATAGTAAAAGTTTCCACAAATATTCAGGTTTTTACATCTCTCCTTTTTGTTGTTCCTATTAGCTTTGATAATGTGATCCTCTTGCATTCTATCTTGGTAATGCTGTGATAAAACAAAGGTCCTATTCTTCTACTGTTTGTTCCCAAATTGTTCATTAGATTTGAGATTAGGGTTGGCCATCAAACCATGGAATTACCTTTTAGAGAAGCTTAGATTGTCAATTGAAGCCACAATATTCCAAACCTTCCAAAGAAATATAGATTCTTTACCCCCCTGTATCAGGTTACTTCCTGATATTTCTAGTTAAGGCCTCCATCTATACCATGTAAACTTTACTGGATACTCTTTTGAAGGCCTCAACTGTCCTGAACAATTTCAAATTTCAGCCTGCACATAACTAAAGCATAAATGATAAATCATCCTAAAACAGTATTCACTTTATTATATAATTCATAAACTTGTCATCCTAAAATGGTATCTGAAGTATGTCTTACTTATAACTTCCACTTCCTATGATTAGATTTGTTTCTAGATATAGCTTACCCAGCACCTTGATTTGGGAAGGTTTCTTTTATCTGCATTCATTAAACTTGTTTTTGTTTCTCAAAATAATGTGTGAATTTGGATGTGTACTACTATCGAAAATGCCTCCTGGTGTAGTGGAAGTACTGTAGTGCTACTCCACAGTGGCAGATACAAGTCACTGGAACAAAATATGGTTCTAGTTTCCATTGCTTTTCTAGTAGCAGGGTATGATTGTAAAGGCAATCCAGAACTGTCCAGCGTTGTCATGGTTGATTGCCATCTCCTATTAAAGAAAGAAAGGAAAAAATTGTCACACTTTTTTGGTTTACAAACTAGTTAGGTTAGGCAACCTTTTACCATATTTTGAGATGAACTTTCCAATTATTCTTTTCAGTTGGGACCATAGATCAATTGTTTGATGAACTATACTATAGCAGCACAGCCATGAGATAAATTTTTCAGTAATTAGCCATGAGGTCACATGTTCTGTCTTCCAAGTTGATTTTTCTTTAATTCTTGAAAGTTAAATTATGTGGGTGTGTACAACCTGATTTCTCTATAAATGGCTTATCCTGTGGTTTATTGTATATCTAGTTTTAAATTAGCTATTTTATAGGATATCACTGAAGAAGTGATTCAAATACACAAGGCTATGGGAAGTGAAGTGGATGCGACTTTCGACTGTGCAGGCTTTAACAAAACCATGTCAACAGCTCTTAATGCTACTCGTTCAGGTGGTAAGGTTTGCCTTGTGGGAATGGGCCATAATGAGATGACTGTCCCTCTCACTCCAGCTGCTGCTAGGTATTATCTATTGCTCCACTTTCTTTTTGTTTAATTCTTCTCTTGATATATCAAATCTCAGAGAAACATCCTTAGGGTATTAGGAACCCTATGGCTGGAATCCAATATTGTGGATGTTTCTGTTTGCTTTTGATGATTTCAGTACTTAGTCTAGTCCTTTCTTTCATGTCAGAGAGGTTGACATCATTGGCATCTTCCGTTATAAGAACACTTGGCCTCTTTGCCTTGAGTTTCTGAGAAGTGGAAAAATTGATGTGAAGCCCCTTATAACCCACAGGTTTGGTTTCTCCCAGAAGGAGGTAGAAGAGGCCTTTGAAACCAGCGCCCGTGGAGGTAATGCCATTAAAGTGATGTTTAACCTATAAATGCAGCATCATGTCAAATGGTATTCTTGTGTTAGTCTAATTGTATCTGTTGCGTGTTGGAAGCTCTTTTATGTCAATAAAAAGCAGGAAACAACCAAAAAATAAATTAATAAATGAGAAGCAGGGATCCATAGTTTACCTATAATCTTTGCAAGATATTTTCTTTTGCACATAACTTTCTCAGACATATTAACTGGTTTGCATGTCCATATATATATATATGTGATTTGTCTGCAATTCTCAGTCCTGGCAGTATGTATTGCCTCTACAATGCATTTTGCTAGAAGAGAAATGCCATCCATACAGGTTTATGGGTCATACATGCCACCATCACCGCCCATGAGGAATGTACCGGTCACATTGTTCCATGTGGATGTTGATGGTTGCGCCTTGAATGGCAAATGAAGATTCTAATTTCTAAAGCTTGTCATGGAGATGCATACCGCCTGAAATATTGCATTCACTCCCTCTCCATAGATCACAATATGCAGAGTTTAGTTTTCTTTTATCTGGAATATGAGTTTCCATTGCCACCCCAGTGTTCCAATTGTACCAAGTGTTATTGGGCAACTACAAGGGTGTTCTCCAATGTGAATTGTTTTTATTGTTGCCAAATCCATAAACAAAACAGAACCAGCTGGTTTGAAAACAACTTGGTTCTTAAAACAAAAAAACACAGAAAACATGTGGGTGGTTTTATCACTTTTGTGTGTGTGTTTTGTTTCCACAGCTGAAGCAAAATACGTGTTCTTGAATTTCTGGTTGAAGAACATGTTTTCATCTGGTTATTAAATATCAATGTTCCATAAATCTTATAATTTCTACATTACAAAAATTGTTTTTTTTGTTTTAAAAAACATTATTTTGATTTTTGATGGTTACAATACATGTATTGTTTTTTGAAACAAACAATTGTTCTTTCGCTGATGTGGAAATTCCCAATAAACATGAAAACAAAAACTCAAAAAGCATTCAAGTTGGAAAACACCCCCTACATCTATAATATTGTTAATTACAAATATAAAAGCAAGAAAATGTATATTGTCCACCAGACCACCACACAGTGATGATGCACCATGAGTCCATGACCAACTCGACCTATACATGTAAATGTGCCAAAATGAGGTTCGTCAAAAGCTCCGACTGGTGTGCGCATTGGTGCAGTCATAAAAGTAAAATTTGATTGTAATTTATATCTTTACTTTTTATTTCCACCCTTTAACTCAGATGGTCGTACTGTTCGGCCCAGAAATTTAATCAGTCAGGTTTCACTTTAGCCCTAAACCATTATTTTCCAAAAAGCCGTTGAATTGGTTAGCAATCCACTGGTTAATGGACAATGATATTTTGAGTTAATTTTTTATTTTAATTAATTTTTAATCCATTTGAACCAAACGATTGAACCAAAGAATCAGAAAGTGGTGAAAGCAATTTCAGTTCTAGATCGATTTTTAAAACATTAAAGTCAATTGTTTCTATTATCGTTAATTATCCCTACAAACCTTTTATTAGAAGAGCTCACTGTCACTGACACTAACCAAAGACCGTAAAAATTATCCAACACAGGTCTATCCATGTATCTAAATGCTTTTCATTCCCTTTTAATTTATCGATAGAAACATCTGATGCAATATATTAATGCATAACATATGATATGTAATGGTTTTTGAACCCATACAAACGTCAAATATTGAAACTCTAAAAATTAGGCGGCTGTTTGGCATCGTTGTCGTTTCCTGGAGCAACAGTGCCACATCAGTATCACGTAAGAAAAAACGGTGCTCCAGGAAACAGCCACTTGTTTGAAACCGTTTTTTTTTATAGAAAATGGTGCTCCAAGCCATGCCTTGGAAATCAGGAAGGCATGGTTTGGAGCAACGTTAAATTTGGTGTTTTCTGGAGATGCAGCTCGTTGCTGCCAACAGAGCAGTAATGTGGCATTGGATAATGGGTAGAAGTGCAGAAAACGTTTCCTGGAGCATTGGTACCAAACAGAAAAAGTTGTTGCTCCAGGAAATGTCCCACCTAGCAGCAACGATTTCAAACAAAAAAAAAGGCACCGTTTTATGAGAAAATGGTGCTTCCAACCCATACATCAGCAACATAGAAAACGGTGCTGCAACTGCAGCATCGATGCTAAACATATACTAGGTTTGTTTAATGGGTTTAAGCATTAATACCCATTTCGAACAGTTCGAACAGTTCAGACTGTGCCACGTTAGTACACACACAGATATATATATATGTGCATGTGTGTGTGTGTGTATGTGTTTATAAATATATATTTTAGCAATAAATAATGTATAAGTATGTTTTAGATATGTTATATGTATTATTTTATATTTAATTTATTTTTTTATTTTTTATTTATAAAAATACTAAAATTTTCAATTGATGCCAAAAGGGTTTTTTTTCGCAAAACTAGCGGGGCAAGGCACCTTGGGACGCATAGATCTCAAAAAATTACCCGAAAACAAAAAAAGATCACCCCAATTGAACATCAGAGTGCAAAATTATGGCCTCCGAAAATTCTGCATGCATTGAGTGTGCAACCAATGACCCGGTCATCGGGTCGAAAGGATCAATGGTTGAACCGGCTAGGTCAAACAATTCTTGACCAAGTCAACGGTTTTTTACCATTTAATGGGTATTGACTAAACTAGACCCAGAATCCTAGCCGGGTGACAGTTCAACTGGCCAGGTCAATGATGGGTTGAAAACATTGGTGAATTCATCAAACTGAAAAAAAAAAATCTTGATGTCATAGAGGCCCGTTTGGGGAGGGACATATCAAATATCAACGGGGGAGAATACCCGCAACGATATTTTCCAAAGCCATTTAATACATCCATACTATATTTTATAGCGTGGATACGATTATATGGCTATCCCTATTCTTTTTAAGAATTTCTCAAAAAAATATACTTCACGGGTGATATTAAGTCATTGCTTGGTATAATGGTAAAATCTCAAACTAACAAGCATGACAATATGAGTTCAGTGAGAAAAGAAAAGCAAAGGTTAGCTCCAAATCCAATTCCAGTTGATTCCTAAGACCACAAATAATTGAAACCAACAAATATATGGCATTAAAGAAAATGGAATGGTGAAACAGGATTCATGTAACCAACCCCATAAAGCTGGGATAAGGCTGATGATGATTTGAATGTGGTCCAATCTAAATCTATTTGATAAGATGTTATTGACTCAAATATCGACCTAGGTATATCCCATTGGTTGCATTGCAAATCAGACTAGATACAAATTTTGCTCCCAATTCAAATTTGCATTTAGGGATGTCAATGGGTCAGGTTAAATGGTAAATCCGGCTTGATCCGATCTTATAGGGTCAGGCATATTCGGCTTTAGGATTGGGTTTAGGTTTTAGCTGACCCGGCCTGCTAGGTTATGATTGGGGTGCTCATGGTTCGGTTATCCGAAACTGAACTATGGGGCTTTTTTTGGACCGAACTGGTACTACCATTTTTTGGAAAACCAGTAATCGAAATCGAACCGAAACCAGTTGGTTAACCGRTTGATTGGTTCGGTTCGTTGGTTTTTCAGTTTTTAATTTTTATAATATATATTACAAAAAATATATATAAATATATAATAAAAAACTATAAATATATATAAAATATTATATTTTAATTAATAAATAATATATCATATATTATAAATATATATTTATATATATAATGCATATTTATTAAGTTATAATATATATAAAACATATAAAACATATATAATATACATAAATATATATAAAATATATAGAAATATATGTATACCGGTCGGTTTGGTTAACCGCCGGTTTTCTATATTGGTTAATCGAAATCGAACCGGTACCTTTGATTTTTTAAAAACACTGAACCAATCGGTTTGATTAACCGATTTTTTGTTTTTTTTGCTGACCCCTAGTTATGATACTATATATATATATATATATATATATAACATCTTCTTGCAACTTTTGACTTCTAACTCTATAGCCTTAAAGTTTAAAATTTATTTACATGTTGGTTTTGGTTTTCTTCTTCTTTTCTTTTTAAATGGGAAAGGTGACACCTTAAAATCTATAAAACAATTTCGTAACTTATATTAATAGATTTAGGTCTTCAAAATGTGTTCAAAAAGTCAAGTTGAAATGCTACGGGTTGGGTTGGGTTGGTAGCCTATAGGGTCAGGTCGGGTTCAGAAATTATTCATTTTAAAGCTAGGTCGGGTCAGGTTTGGGTTGACAACTAGAGGGTCGGGTTAGAGTTGAGGTAAGCCCGTGCACTTGTGATTATGATTTACAGTCCTACCTGATACAAAATTTATACTTTTTGTCTCATTTACACTTACTAGCATTGTAAAATTTGCATCTCAAAAACTGATACAAAATTTGCACCACCTTCCTATTTCAATCCTCTCTCGTATAAAGTGAGAACCACATCATCGTACTCCCTACCTCCATTCTCTTGCATATGAGTGGGGCTACACCATTTACTACCTATTTTATTTTTACAAACAAAATCAAACAAGACAAAGTTTAAGTCAAATCTCCTACCCAAAAAAAAAGTTTAAGTCAAATCTAAAACAAAAGTAAACCAGAATTTAACTCAGCATATTTGCACTCATTTACACCAGTGCAAATTTCATTTGTACATCAACCAAACGCAGCCATTCATATTGATCCCATATCCCATCTATTTGCAGTCCAGAAAGTCCGCACATGATGGAAATTGAAAACTAGGTTGCAATTTTTCAAAGCAGGCTGAGTCCACTTTGGGGCAGGCATTAAAGCCCATCAAATCAGACCAGGCCGTCTGCGACCCAGATTATATGATCTAAAAAGTCTGGGTCCGAGCTCGAAGGTCGGCCAGTGGAACGATAATGTGGGTCGGTAAATTACGACACTTGGAAGCCCACTACAGCGTAGTCTCGTGTCTGCTGCTGCTGCTTTTCTCATAGGATTGGCCGGTCGGGACTTAACATGCTCGTCGGCGTCCTCAGAATTTGGATGAGCATACAATTGGGCCTGGGCTTTTGTCATTAGAGAGCACGTGTTTTCCCTTTTTAGTGATTTGGGCCCTTACATGACGGTGGGCCCAATAACGTGAGTGATGGTGGGGGTGGGGGTTG